TTGCTTTGTTGTAATGAAAACATATTTAATGTGTTGATATTCTAAAATTTTGTTCAGCTCCTATTAGTATTTCCTTATCTATAGTAGTAGCTCTCTGGCTAATCTTTTTTTGATGAACTTACTACTTAATGTAAGGCATAAAATACAAAATAAGCTTAGAATTACATAGATCGTAGATTAAAGTTATAATGTTTCTGTCTACCCAGGTGTAATATTGATAGAAACAAAGGACTTCTAAAAACTTATTACTAAAACAGCCAAGTAAGAGTAATGCTTGAGACCATCAGGATTTAAGCCAAGACAACCAGAAACCAGACTGTGTGGTTCATTTCCTTTACAGTGGTCCTGAGTGATAGATTCTGGTGAAAGACATAGCATGATTTTCACTGAAAGAACTTAAAAAGATGTTGGAAAATTTATACTTTGTTACTTTGAGATCTGATTAGAAAATTGATAAACTAGTTTCACTTGTCAATTAAATTAGCATTATAAATTAAGTATTGGAGGAAATGTTTAAATACTTGGTAAATTGGTTATCATTAGCAATTATAACCATACATATTCTTCACAAAGGGATAAGTTAGTAGAAGTCTTTCCCAAGTGAGAACCTTGATAGATGAAGGGAATGGGGGAAGGATAGCCTTCCCACTGTGTTGTTTTGACAAACATTTGTGAGCAAGTTCTCTTAATAACTTCATAGCAGCTGTGTGACCATGAGGGCATTGCTTTGACTACATAGATTCAATGGCAAACATTTGAGACAGGGTTCCATTTTACTAATGAAAGCTCATCTCTGTTCTTATCTCAGAACTTGGAAAAGGTTAGTTCAGGTGGAGGTAGGCCGTAGTTTGAGCTGACACTGAAGGGGTCACAAGCCCGTCCTATCCCTGGTTCCACTAAGGTGACCCAAGACAAGCTGGTAATCCCGACAGGAGATTCCAGCAAGTCATTCATTTTCTCTGGGAGCGTGGAAACAAACAAATAGTCATATTTGCTGGGCTTTTTTTCCCTCCTAAGTATGAGGCAACTAGATAGTAAAGTTCTGTGTATCTTCCTAATTATTGGATTTTTCCCTCATAGTAAGAGATTTCAGTTTTAAAGAATTTCTCTTTGAAGAGAAGGAATTGATTGCTAGGAAAACTAACTTTTGTTGAGTATTTGTGCACACGCTGTGTCTGACAGGGGAATGATGGAAGAACTAGGTAAGTGTTTGAGAAGATAGCAGACAGCAGACATCATTTCTAGGAGAAGATGCGCATCTTCATGAGATTTATATTATCTTACTTTCTTACATTGAATGCCTTAATTCTAATGGTAAACATTTGTAAAGTTGATATTTCATACAATATCCTATCACTATGCAGAACTATTAGACAGTGCTCAAATTGTGGGTTGGTTTATTTTTTTCTGAAAAAAAAAACCCTAAGTACTTTAAATAACTATAGGCACATAGCTTACTTATAATAACATTAGTGGGGAGGGTAGGAGTTAATTAGCTAGGCACTTGATAATAGGTTCTTGTTATCCAAGGAGCCTTATCTCCGCCTCCAAGGGCAGTTGTGTAGCAGGTTGCAAGATGAATACATAAATTCGTACAATAATCATTATAAGAAAAATGTTGCCTTTAGGCAAACTTAGTTTCTTTATTATTGCATAAAATTCCCTTTCAGTGTTAAGCGATGTGCACTGTCAGAGTCTGTCTTGATATAAAGTCCCTACCTTCTGTAGACCCAGGCTAGGCGAGTGTCAGGAGGTTCCCCAGAGAGCACGGAGCACAGCTTTTGCTCACATTGGAGAAAGTAACCTTCCGACAAGCGTTCTACCTTAGTTAGAACTGGCTTATCATTAGACCTCCTGGTCCCTCAGAATCACTGGTGATTATCTTGGAAGCTGTATTTTAAAAGAATGTAATGGTAAAGAATAAGAAATATTTTCATTAAATCTTAATATGAGGCATACCAGTTGAAATATATTGTACATTACATAATTCCTGTTTTTTTAAAAACCAAAACTATATGTTCTAAACTGATTTACTTTATTGGCAGTTCCCCCAAGAATATTTAATTTCTCCCTTTGAAATTGCCCAATCAATACTGTCCAAGCTGCATGAAGAGCCTGAACAGCCTCTGCCCAGACTGGACAGTGGGGTGACAGGCAGTTAATGAAATAGCCTGCTTTGCTGGGGGGCGGGGGTACCCAAATACATTTCATTTTCAAAATGTTTCTGGAAGGACTTATTTGTGGTAATGCTGAGTGCTATTTAAAACTCGTCAAAAATGTGGGTTTTACAGAACACAAAAATAATCTCCTGAAAGTTTGGAAGGGGAGAGGGGCTGTGGTGTGGGGGCGGTCTCTGCTGCCCACGTCCGCCCTCTGTTCAGTGCGCTGTGTGCTTACGGGCTCCCCGGAGCAGTCGCCGTATAATTGATGTGCAGTCTGCATTGCTGAACCCTGGACTGCACCATTCCGTGTTCAAGGGAAGATGTAATCTGATCCCTCTGCTGCTGAGGGAGGAATCTGTTCAGTCAAGGCTTTGACAGGGCATAGTCTCCTCCAATAATCTTGTGGGTTCTCGCTCATTATTCTCCGAGTTCTCAGTGGAGCTGCATGCGTGTGTGCGTCCCGAGCAGCGTTCTGGTTCTGAGCTGCGTCTGCTGGTGCTGGGGAGTTTTGCTGCCGGTTCCGCTGCCTAATCTTCCTCTTCTGGCGTGCCTGAGCATGTCCACGTTAGAATCTGTGACATACCTACCTGAAAAGGGGCTATATTGTCAGAGACTGCCAAGTAGCCGGACACACGGGGGCACGGAATCCCTGAAGGGGAAAAATACAGAAAATATGGGTTTCTACGGCACATTAAAAATGATTTTTTACAAAGTAAGTAAGCTGTTTTCTTCCTGTGCTGTGTGGTTGTGTGTGTGTGCCTGCCTGAGAAGGAAAATCTGTATCATCAGAGATGGCTGCAGTATCCTCTAATTTTGGTGGGTGGCTGGATGTCTGGTATTCTGTTTTATTTCATGAATGTTGTAAGCAACTATGGAACGACAGCGTGAGCTGGGAGAAGATTTAAAATAAAATGTATGTTTCCATCTGAGAATTTTTCACTGAAAATGTATCCAGACTTCAGAAATGTGGCTCTGTTAAATGCTGACCTGGAAATACTCAGCCTCACTTGGCTTTCCGTGAACCTTTCTGTTCAGTTTTCCTGTATCATAGACATACATATGTGTTCATTAGTTAACTCTTAAAGTGTAGTCACTGCAATGTGCGGGGTTCATATTTGAGGAGATTGTACTACTTGTGGTACCTTAAATAACTACCCAATTAATTTTTGGTTATGAAGTCGGTATTTTCAGTTAGCAGTACAGTATTTAAAAGGCTTTTATAGTCATTCAGAAGGTGCTTTGTTTTATAAAATAATTTAACGTAAAACCCCCTTCTCAGTGATTTCCTTGCTTTATTTTTTAAGTATTTTTATTCCCTGAAAGATTATAAGATGGAAATAAAGTTTGCTTTTAGTGGCAGATGGCATTTGTACCAGTGTATTTACAAGACATTCTGGGAAGTTCTGAAAGCCAGCATTGCTGACTTAATTCAAATGAGTATCAGAGATTCTCATAATGATCATGAAAGACATCTGTGAAAGTTAGCAAGTTCCATGCAATGGGTTCATTTGTATACATGTGCATGTCTGTGAATTGCACACATGGAAGCACATGGCTACCCATGTATTACAGTGTTTTTATTATTTATGTTTGTTTTTAATAAAATTATTTGCAAAGAGAAAGAAGTAATATATTTTGGAGAGGATTGTCTTTAAAACGATATGAGTATAGAAACTTCAGAGGGAGGAGAGCAGACCATTTTCCCCCAGTAGGTATCTCATGAGCTAAGGTATAAATTGTGCATAAGCTTCTGGAACGTTCGCAGCTGAAACCCATGCAGTGCTGACCGGACTTCCTGCATGGCGATAAGAGTCCTTGTTGCCCCATCTCAGGGCCTGCGTCCTGTAGTGTGTGCCGTGTGTGTTCTGTGTTCCTGTGTTCCGGTGTGAGGCTGCTGCCAAGTAGGGGTCCACTTGGTGTAAAAGTGCAGATGGCTATCTCCCCACAGCATGCAATAACAGTAACTAGTGAGTACGTGCAGATCCAAGAGAGGCTGTTGAAAAAGAAAAAGTTGAACCTTAACGAATCTTATTTTCTAGTTTGGAAGTAAACATATACTCCAATGGCCTACATTAATTGATAGTGAAACACAGAAATAAATATTTCAATATTAACATTGAATGAATTGCCAGCATCCCATGGCATAGTGAGAGCCCTTAGGATGTACACGTTGGACATGTCTTATATATCATATATCTATATGTCTCAGACGTAGCTCACTCTCTTAAGAGTATTTGGACCCAAGTAGCTGCTGATGACTTTCCCTTCAGCTTCACCGTAGGAGATGCAGAGTCTCTGCCGCTAGGACTCACTCTTTTAGCTGTCTCTGTTTCCACACCAATTGCTTTCTTCTGTATTAGAATCACTGTCCAAGATTAGTTTATTTACAGTGCTCTCTACCTTTTTATAATGATATAAATGTTTAAAGTTCAGTTATCCATATTTCTGGTTTGAAATTTTTAATTTAATTTTTTATCTTATAATATTTTTCAAGAAATATGAAGATTAGAAAGAAAGACATGTTAAATATGGTTCTTTTCTGTGAGTACTAATAAATTTTTCTTGTTATTTAACTGAAAAATATGTAATTATTTAAAGATATGATGAATATTAGTTTCTAAATCACCATATACAGTTCACCCCAACAGAATACTAAGGGAGCATTGCCTCTCCAGTCTGTAAGAGCGAAGCAAATAGGACAAACTATGTAATAGATTTTCCATTTAACCTACCATTGTAGGCACATGGAAATTTAACAACTTTTAATATTAGCATGCAAATTCATCTGATAATGGACTGGGTAAATTAAAAAAAAAACTTATCTGTTTTACCTTATAGATGAAAAGAAAGTTGGACCATGGTTCTGAGGTCCGTTCCTTTTCTTTGGGAAAGAAACCATGCAAAGTCTCAGATTACACCAGGTAACGTTAAATAGAGGGGTAGATGGGGGGGGGCATTGAATTGTGTTTGCAGAATAACAATGCTGCTGTATTCAGTGTTGCCGATGTTACAGAGATGGGAAGGGTGTCAGTCTGAATCCGGGCAGAAGGGCTAGCACTGTCCATGTTGCTCCTTACTAAGGGACTCACAGGGGAGGCACATGCAGGACTCCTAAACAGTAAACCCTGAGATCTGAATGCCAGCAAATGTCTAGTTACTATAGCAACTGCTTGCTGTTCTAGGGTAGATACTTACATATACCAAATCGGAGATAAATTTGTTAGAAGTGAGGTAAATCTCCCAGTTTTAAACTTAGTCTTACTGCATGGAATGAGTGTTAGAAATCCCCATGTATTGACCTGATGGGCTTTATGTTGTAGCACATACATTTCTACTCTTGTAGAATAGTTTCCATAACAACTAGACACAATTGTAGTCTTGTTTCCTGCTTCACTCCATCATTTTTGGATTTTGCATCAGTATAAAACTTTGCCCACTCTCACGCTAATTAGGCTAACTTAAGCACAATATCTCATTTCCCAGCCAATTAAAAATGGCCTTGAAATGCTGTGTTTTAAAATTTAAATAACAAAAGTATCTTAAGAGCCTTTGTGGTCCCCTCCCCCTCTTGTATAACTGTCACTTTGTTTTTTTTTTTTTTAAAAAAAAAAACTGGTCAGAGTGAACAATAGGCATTCTGAGGACATCATGGTTATGATCTTTCTTTCTTAAAGCATTTTGATTTAATTATTTTTATTCTGTAAAGTAGAATAAAATTAGCATTGCCTCGATACAAGGTTCTCTAAGACATTATAGACTGCACCCCTCCTTACCGGTTTTTTATTTCATTCAGTTGAGGAAATTTCTTCAGTGCTCCTCTGCAGAATGAAGCAGCCATACTACCTAGAGAACGCGGAGAGAAGAGGGAAGAGAGCTCCTGCTCCAGAGCAGCTCTTCCCATCCTCTCTGCCATGACAGTCTCACTGCGTGGGCACCTCCACCAGAGGGAAACGTTTCGCTTCTCCTTCTAACCCTGACAATATGTTTCTCAGATGAGAGAGTTGAGCTTGATGTTAAACTAATTGTAAATGTAATTTTTTAATCTATAGATTTTAGTCCATCCACGTCATTTTGGTCTTCTGTTAATACTGAGGCAAAAATATTAAATGTTCAGTTATTTTAGAATGGAATTTGTGGTACAGAACATATTTTCATAACATTTTAGTTGCTTTTTGTGTCGAGAAAGCAACTGCCTTTTAATAAGGAATCATACTATATACAAATACATATTTCTTTTCATGTCTTTGGGGCCATCTTGTCGGTCACTAGCATATATGTGTGATATTAAGTAATGCTTTGGACAGGTTTTGACAGGTAATAAGATGAAACTCATTTTCTATTTTTGTCCCCCCCTTAGGAAATTTAAACTATTAATAAATCATGTTTTATTTAGGAGAAGAGAAAAACTGAATTTGGTTTTGAATTAGAAAAGAAGAAAGGATTGACTTACTTGTTGACTATTACAGATTGTCTTAAATAAATATTCAAAGATTCAAAGGTGCAGGCATGAAGATCTCTGTAAAACAGTGATTTTGATGCCATTTAAAAAAAATTAAAGAGTTGCTTTTTTAGCAGTTTGTCAGATGTTGATAATCAGTTGTTATGGTACAGTTTATATGTGCTCTTTGGATATAAATATGTAATTTTTTTAAGCACTCACTATAGCCCAGTCTGGCCTGGAGCTCACTCTGTGTGGCCTGGGCTTACCTCACACGCGGGACAGCCCTCCTGCCCCCTCATCTAGTGCCCTGATAACAGGTGTGAGCTGGCTGCTCTCTGGACTTAAGAGGATTCTTTCACAGATGTAATTTCCCAGGCAGGTCTTGTCCTTTTAGTACCTGCCTGCAGAAATGCTCAATGTCCACCCTGCTTTAGATGGTTGAGCTGGCTTAGAGAAGCCCCCATCTGAGACCACCAGTGTATGAGACCATATTCCTCCTGCTGTTAGCTAGCAGAGTAATACGGTTTCAGACCTAGATCAGAACCATGTACTCAGTTCTGAATTTATTATTTATATTTTTATTTTCATTATCTCAAAGTTTATTGGAAAAGAATCTTTCAACCATCTCGTTTAATCTAATTTTACCTGAAAGATCTCTACTTCTTCTGAAAAGCTGTGCTCTCATCAGGGCTGGCTACTACCAGATACCTAGGCTCAGCTTAATAAGTGACAATTTAAAATTAGCAATAGATATATATTATAAATAATATTATTGCATCTAGGGCAAGTTTAAGGTCTTATGTGTAAGAAATGAAATTCAAAACATTTTTAATCTCTAAAATATTGGTAACACGAATACTTTCACATTCTTTTTTATAAAGAAAATGTAGACTTTAATGAAGACTGTCCTAGAAGTGGGGCTGTATTTCTCAGGCCACGTTTGTTGGTTTTTATGCTTGGTCATTTACTTCCTCACAGCCCTACTGCATCTATGTTACATAGACTAGTAACACAGTTTCATAGTCTTCTAGTTGGTTGCCAGTAGCTTTGCCCAGATGATGGTAGGGAGGAAACTTTCATTATAATCGTAAAACAGAGCCAGAAGTGGCAGATGCCTGTATTTCTAGCATTTAAGAGTTTGAAGCAAGACGAGTTTAAAGCTAACCTGGGCCTCAGAGTAAGTTTGATGCTAACCTTGACTGCACAGTGAGACCATCTCTGGTACAGGAGGAAAGGAAAAAAGCAAAGTAGGCTTTGTGTGTCCCTGCCCTCTGAGAATAGCCAGCAAAAGGCATTGCTGTAGAGATGTTGGAAGAATACCAGATTGTTATTCTGATGAAATCAGAGTTCACAGTTCTTAATAAGACCTGTCTTTGCTTCCTCTTGTACCTTTTCCTTTTTTTTTAGTACCACTGGGCTTGTACCATGTTCAGCAACACCAACAACGTTCGGGGACCTAAGAGCTGCCAATGGGCAAGGGCAGCAGCGGCGCAGGATCACGTCTGTCCAGCCACCCACCGGCCTCCAGGAGTGGCTGAAGATGTTTCAGGTGACTGTGGACACTGGAAATGCTTCACTCAGTTGCCTGGGGGTGGGGGAGGAGTGCATAACTATTCAGCCATTAAAAAAACGGAGTACTGTTTGGTGCTGTACCATTTATGAGCCTTGGAAACACTGCATTAAATGAAAGAAGCCAGATGTAAAGTGAAGTGTTTATTAATAAAAAGAGAGAGAAAGTAGGTTAGTGGTTTCCAGGTAGACAGGGGAAAGGTTACCTGCTAAGAGGTGTAGGCTTTTTGGGGAGAGAATGATAGGAGATTTCTGGAACTGGGTAGGGTCGTGGTCATCAAAAAAGGGAGGCATCCTGGGAGTCCCCAAAGTGTACAGTTAAAATAGCAAGCCTGTGATATGACTGCATCTTTGAGAATAAGTACAGTGCTTATTTGTGTTAGTATGTATTTATATATCCTCATTGCTTTTTAGACAAGCCTTTTTTTGTTTATTTTTGAATTTTTATGTCACTGACTATGTTCTTGTTTTCTGAACATGTTTCTTGTAAATAAGGCATTTGAGATTAATTTAAGAACTGTCATCAAGTCACCAGAGGTGACTTACCCTTCACTACGTCCCTAGAAGAGATGGCTGGGTGACTTCTCTCAATGCCTTGCTTGTATTTGGCTTTAATCTGCTCAAGTTCCATTTGCTGTCTTTTACCAGAATTTAAATTCTTTGAACATTTACTGGGAAGATTAGTCACATATAGTTTTTTGTGACTTTAGTTAGACTGTCTTACCATAAACGATATACTAAGTCAAGTGCTTACCAAAGCAGCTGCTATAGAGGAAGTCCTCAGTAATTCCTTCCAGACAATATTAATAAAAATATGAACATATCTGATGTTGGCCACCATACTAATATAAAATGAACACATTTTACTACCTCTGGCTGCTTGAATTGTTAGGTATATAAGGAAACTATAATTTTAAAACATATGCTGGTTTTGTCTGTTGACTGAGTTTTCTTTCCTGCCCAGTTCCTGCAGTTGTTAAGTCCCAAAGAAATCACACAGAGGTCTACATTAATTATAAACTTATTGGCCCATTAGCTCAGGCTTCTTATTAACTAATTCGTATAACTTACATTTGCCTATCATTCTTGTCTGTGCTAGCCACGTGGCTTGGTACTTTTTTCAGTGAGGCAGTCACATCTTGCTTTCTTTGAGGCTGGGTCACCACTGCAGACTGAAACTTCCCTCTTCCCCAGAATTCTCATTGCCCCGCCCCTACTTCCTGCCGTGTTGTCCCGCCTATACTTCCTGCCTGGCTACTGGCCAATCAGCATATTATTAAAAATAATACAAGTGACAGGATAAAAGACCATTGTCCCACAGCATTTGTCATTTTCAAATTTTTAGGAAGTTCTGTTATACAAATACTAATATTTTGCTTAGGCTCTCTCTCTCCCTCCCTCCTCCCCTCCTCTGTCTGTGTGTGTGTGTGTGTGTGTGTGTGTGTGTGTGTGTGTGTGTGTGTTTCTTCTATAACTTCAAAACGAACATGAAGTGATATACTTCTAGATGAGTTTAAGATTGTTTTGTGCCTTCTGGTGATTCCTAAAACACCAGCAACGTGGGTTGGGGCAGCTACTGTAACCAGGGCAGCCCTGGTGCCACAACAGGGTTTAATTTTTCCCTAAATGAATAGATGAAGTGGTAGGACCCTGGGTGTCTAGCTGGTAAAGGCAGTATGAAGGATCACTTCCAAAAAACAAATAATTATCTAACCCAAAATGGCCTAGTACTGAATTTAAGAATCTTGGGATTGAAGAAATGGAAGTTACATTTTACATATGGAAATGTCATGATAATTACAGCCACAAGGAATGTAGTCTTAAAGGGATATTGAAGATATTGACCTCTGATTAGGCCAGGGAAATGGAAAGATCTGTGTGTTCTCCTGCATGTTCATGAGTGTGTACACACCCTAGCACCCATGAGTGCAGAGCTGATGTCTTACCTGGGGCTGAGCACCAAATGCTTTAGCTTTAGCTTCAGCTTTAGCGTGCATTCAGACAGCCTTCAGAGTGTTGAATGGAGCAAAGCTCGTTAGCAGGCTAGTCCAAATAATTTTTATATGGCTGGGCCCATTCTTCCCACAGCATTTTAATGTACCAAAATGTTTTTTTGTAAGCCACTTATGATGTTCATTAAGAGAACTTTTATCATATTGATCTGCAGTGGGAACATTAGTGCTTTCTTTTCATGAGGCTGTTTTAGCCGGTCCTTTGTACAGTGCTTGTTTAGCCGCCCCATACGTTCCTTAAGAAAATGTCCAACTTAACCGTTCCAGAGATGTTTACTGTAAAAATAAAATCAGAAAACCAAATTCACTAAGCCAGCTTTGTCCTATAAAAGTATGTCTGTTTCATATGAGTAGTTATAGTGAGAGATCTCATTCTTGGTTCACAGAAATATTGTGGAATTATCCCTGCAAGTAAAGAACTTAATCCACCTCTCCCCGACATGCTGTAGAAACAAATCTGTAGCAACTAAAGGCCCACCTGACAGGGTAGATGAGCCTAAATCTTCTGTTCCATGTCAGCCTCTGACGTGACCTGGCCTCACAGTTGTACCCTCTCCTGTCCTGTGTTGTGCTGTGTTTCAAGGCTGGCGCCAAACTGACTAGGATTGAATCACTTGCCTGGAGGCTTGCGATGCTTCAGTGCCCGTCTCAGACAGCCACAGCTGCACAGCAAAGTGGGGTGGTGTGAGCTGACCCATGAGGGACAATTAAACTGGCAAGCTTCTGCAAATATGCGATTGGGGCATTTAACGGTGACTTCCCTGTTGTGTAACAAGCAAAATGGGAACTCTTGTCCCCTTACTGTCCTCCTATTGCTCCGCAGGCAGTGATAGAGCACTTGGTCCAGCTTCATCTATGCCGACAAAGTACTCTGTACTCCATTTGTAAATTGAATGAGAGACTATTACTGAAAAACAGAAATGTAAATTAAAGACAAAGGCAAAAGCCCAAACTTTGCCCTGCTTAAATTGATTCAACTTTCCAGTAGTCGCTGTGCCTGCCAAAGAGATAGGGCTGGTTGAATTCTTTATGTAATTTGGATATTACACTGTATGGCTTTTTACTTAACAAAACTAGAGCAGGTAAAGATGCTAACGGAATTAGCCTTTTATGGTTCAGAAGCATCACAGAAGAGAAGCACATATGACCTTGGTGAAGAGGCTTAGTTCAAATTTTGGCTTTGACTGTAACCAGCGGGTATTTGATTAAGGATCCATTGTTTACTTATTTCATACTACATAAAGCAAGCATTACACTAAAAAGTGTCCAAAGGGAAGACTATGTAGCTGTGCATACAGCTCTACATGGAAGGACAACAGAGTCCATACACGCCAGTTTCCTCCATTGTCAAGATGCAGTTTTCGAGCCCAGTTTTCTTTGGTCTAGAAGAGCCTGTCAGTACTAACTTTACATGGGAATCTGAGGGACAAAGGTGGTGGTGATGGTGTGTGTGTGTGTGTGTGTGTGTGTGTGTGTGTGTGTGTGTGCACGTGCGCGCGAGCGAGAGGGAGAGAGGGCGAGCACAAGAGTGCTATAACATTATGCAAATTTCTGCACGCCTTAGCAGAACGGATTTGCATTAAGGCTCTGTGTTTTGGAAAGATCTGCTATACTCAAACCAAAAAATAAAATACATGTGTCTTGATAGTTATAATGAATAAAATCTATATTGAAGGTTTATCACACTCCATGCTAACTCCGAAATTACATATATTTTCTGTTTTATTTTAGTTAAGTTTTATTTGTTAGTCAACAAGAGATGAAAACCTTCAAGGAAATGACAACAGGATCAGTTTATTGTTTCTTTGAAATTGCATTTGTTATAGCATGATTAAGAAAACTTATTAAACCTGGTGTAAGGAAGTTGAAGAAATTCATGTATTTATGAGATAGGACTACAGGAAAGTACTGTATTTAATAGTTCACAACTTTACATCAGAATAAAAGCAGATTAAGTCTTGGGTTCTTTAGAAAGTCATACCTGAATCATGTTTTCTGAAGCGGATTGGAAACTGTTTGGACTACTAGGAGAACTGCCCAAAGTGGTATAGGAGCTGTTCAAGTAGAAGAGGGTGGCCATGCATTTCGGACCACTCCAAGCCATACAACACAAGTCCCTGCACTGCCATGCCCCAGGTTCTGGAGAAGCTAGCTAGTTGTAGTTTTCTACCGTGAGTTCAGGCTCAATTACCCAAGGTTGGAATAGTAAGTGCACCGTGCCAGGTTCCCCTGGGCAGTATCTGGGAACCACTGTGCCAACCGTCTTTTATTAGGAGTCTTAAGGCAGTAAGCAGGAAAGTCACTTTCACCAGTCTCCAAGGAGTCTGGACATAGACGAGAACAAAGCTAGGGAGCTGAGAGGCCATTGGAGGTCTGGACGTCATCATCTAGAAGAGACATTGGTGGCTTAGATGGCATAGTCATGACCAAGTTTCAGATGTTTTAAAGCTCATGGATTTGTGTCTCTGAGTCCCCCTATTCTGTGCTGTGAATTGTTTTCAAATGCTTAATTAAAATTTACAGTTTCCTTGAGTCAGCATTGTTGTCTGCCTCCCAAGTGACCATGGCTGTGATAGTGTCCACAAATTTGCTATCATGTAGGGCAGGTGAAAATGACCAACATATTATAGAAAACCATTTGAAATCCTGTGAGGGGTGTGAATCAATGAATATGTAAATTTAAATTATATATACTGTGTGGGGAGTGATGAATGGAAATTGACCACATTGTCAGATGGCTCACGTCTGAGCCAGTGTCTGAAGTGCTGTGGGAGAAGACATGTGTTGTATGACAGACCTCGGGTGGGCACCCTGTCTGAGCACGGAGGACATGACCTGTGGCAGCCTGGGCAAAGTAGAGTAGGCCATGGAGGACGTTAGACACTGGCTGATGGTCCATAGCGCCAGCGTCATCTGCAGCCAAGAGAGGAGAGGTGCAGTCGTTATGGAGTCTAAAGGAGTAAATTCCTAAGAGCCTCGACACAGCTCAGTATTTATCTTACATCTTATGGAATGTTACTCTTTATCTGTCCATGTCCAAATGGCCGCAGTAATCCCCTGGGGTGTTTACATCGACATCGGCACAGATTTACAAAGGCCTGCTTAGATATGCTTCTACTTAATAATTATGAAGTTACTTAAATGTTTTACACAGTTATTACAGAATTCCAACATTTTAAATTACTCATATGGCCATAAAATGTTTCCTTTCAAGAACGATTGCTTTTCTAAGCAGTCATACTCACTGGTAGAAAATATTTTTTAAAAAATTAAACAACAATAACAAAAAAACAACCCCAAGAGTTGTTTAAAGGAACTCAGTTTTGAAATATAATTATATGTTTTTATTTTTCATAAGTATAGCATTTTTGTTCTTAATTCTCTTTTTGGTGTTTGTATATATTCTAATTTTTAAAAAATGAACTCAGCCAATCTTTGCTGTTGTTTCCTGTTTAATATCTATATTTTGTGTAAAACAGCATTTTTTAAACTTATAGGAGACAGAAATGCAGAATATCCAGCTATTAATTTCTCTAATTAATTATGTTACAAATCTTTTAGCTCTTAGATGAAAGCCTTATTCAAGCCATAAAATTTTATGGCTGTCCACTAAAAATAATATGGAGAAAGAAAAATGATCTATGAAAATTCCCTATTTATTCCTTAGCCGAGATTGATGCTTCAGGAACAAGATTTTGGTGTCCCCAGTGTCTTGGTGTTGGATGAATGCATAGCTATTGTAGGTAAAGAAATAAATGCTGAAGTTTTTCTCCGCCAGTCATGACTTTGCTGGAAAGGTATTCAGTAAACTTGCGGAAAGTAAAATCTAGATGGCTTCAGAGGCTACTGCAGCCAAGTTCTCTGCCCATGGTCCCTTTCCATGCAGTTTCCTGTGCAAACATGGACACGCAGGTGCATTTGTAACTAGAGCATCTTTAAGGTAATCAAAGTGTCCTCTTCGGTAGAGCTGGAGTGGACCAGAGAAGCTGCTGGCTTTAGATGAACTCATCGATAGCTGTGAACCAACGCAGGTGAAGCACATGATGCAGGTGATAGAGCCCCAGTTCCAGAGAGACTTCATCTCCTTGCTCCCTAAAGAGGTAAGCGAAGGCTGCCAGCTAGACCCCGCACAGGCACCACCCCTGTAAGCAGTGTCCTGCCGGTCGTGGTTTGACACCTCCACAAGCTGCTGTCTTGGCTTAATGGTGAAACTGTTACATAAAGAATGCTTGTAACCAGGTACTTTTTCCCTCCCCGTTGGATAAGGTAAGTCTGCATGAGAATCATTGAGTTTCTTGCTAGGTTGTCTGAAGCCTGACTTTAGTTATTTGGGTATGTTTGTTATTTATAGTGGATTTTCTCTAAATTCTGAATTCAGTAAGCTGCAATACTGTTTTTATTCTTTTTTGTCCCTCACTTCTTATGTCCCTTCAAGACCAGTAATTTTCTGACGATTGCATTTCTCTGGTCCTTGCACTATGTAATTGTTTTTATTTTTATTTATTTTCTTAAGTGCATTGGTGTTTTGCCTGCATATATGAGGGTGTCAGAAACCCTAGGACTAGAGTTACAGACAGGTGTGAGCTGTCATGTGGGTGCTGGGAATTGAAACCAGGTCCTCTGGAAGAGCAGCCAGTGCTCTGAAGTGCTGAGCCATCTCTCCAGCCCCCTGCAGTTATTATTTAATACACAGAATTGTGTGTATATATATAATGTGTGTGTGTGTGTCCCTGTCCATATCTACCAGCCGTCCTCTACCTGAGAGAGATCACGTGTGAAGTGCATTCTTGTAGCACTCCGTCATAAGCCGTGTGCAGCTACATAGGTTAAATATAATGCCTGTGTTGACATTTTTGACTTCATAGCTTAATTTTTATCAGCAGAAAGGAATAATTCCCATGCTGTATGTTTTCTCAAATTACTGTACTCATGCTACTAATTAAATACCAGCTTAAAAGACAGCATGAAAAAGAGACTCATCATACAAGTGACCCTGGACCCTCCAATTTGAACAGAAAAGGAGTCCTGCTTTCACTTAGAAAGTCACTCCAACTAAGTTCCTAGAGGCATTCATAGTCCTAATTATAGTTTTACATTAGATTTGAGTAAAATCGATGAAACTAACATAACTTAGGGGAAAAGCAAAATTGACTAAAAAAATATCTTTTTTTCTGGTGTTTTCCCCCCTTTGGAATACTTTCTAAAAAATGACATTGTCCCACAAAAGAAGTGGTTTTTTTCTCGTGAACTTTTTCTACAACAAAACTCTGAATAAACTTAGGAAAGTAACATGAGGTCATCAGGGCATAGAATAGTAAGGAGCAGTTTCTGTGAACGCAGCAGATGCTCACCTTGATATGTTTTACGTCCCTGGTACCCTCCTTTAGAATCTTAATTGTATAGATCCTCTCATAGCATGGTGTATTTACTTATCTCTGAGAGTAAGTTTTTCTATTCTGTTTTTTCTTTATTCTTTGTTTTATAGATACTCTTATCATGCAAAAACTTCCTGACCTCAAACCAGTAGAATTTGAGAATCTTTGTGGGGTGGTTATTTATATGTGTGGTGTGTATATGTGTTCAAATACTTAAATACATGCAGATGTGCACACATGTGCATGTGGAGGCCAGAGATGTGCTCCTCAGTTGCTCCCACGTTGTTGTTTTGAGTCAGAGTCGTGGTCTCTCACTGAATCTAGAACTTACTCACTCATCTGGACTAGCCAGTGAGCTCCTGTCTGTCCTCCCAAGCACAGGGCTTATAGTAGCCACCGCCATGCCTGTCTTTTCCAAGTATTGGGGTCCAGACCCTTATCTTCATGGTTATACATGAAACATTACCAACTGAGCCGTCACCACACCCCAAAACCTGAGAATATTTTAGCATTTAAGAAGTAAGCACAGATTATTAATAAAAGGTAAGCCCCAAAAGATTGTCTTGGCTTCCGTGTTCTTTCAAAGACTGCTGAAGGAAAGAGAGAAGTGAAGTTAGAAAGGGAACCTGGCGTAGCATATCATGTTTTCTTGTTTTCAACTACTTGGGGGAAAGAGTCTTCATTTGAAAAAAAAAATGCTTTATTTCATATGTGGAAGAATAATGGCATAGATCTAAGGCCTAGGGACGTTTGTGTTATCAGCAGGAATGTATTGTTTAAACATTATTACTATATTGGCACAGATCTAAGGCCTAGGGACGTTTGTGTTATCAGCAGGAATGTATTGTTAAACATTATTACTATATTGGCATAATGCACTAGTATTTTTCTGATAATTGGTGTGTGCAGATCTCAAGCCTTTCTCTATCACCATGGAGGCTGATCTAAGAACTTGAGCACTAGACTCACACGAGAAACTTGTGATCATTGGCATTGTTCTCACTGTGAACAAATACCAATACAATCACAGGTCGTCTAGAATAAAGCCTCAGATCCCTAATACGAGATTAATGAGCATTTTCTTTGGTCTTAAAATACTGTTCTCCTTGATTTGCTCAATCTACCAAAATCCAGCAGTCCTACGGAAATGGTTTCTGCCGTTTTCTGACGTGTGAGTATGTCATCCTCACTTTCTTTTCCACAGCTGGCACTCTATGTACTTTCATTCCTGGAACCCAAAGACCTGCTGCAAGCGGCTCAGACTTGTCGATACTGGAGAATTTTGGCTGAGGACAACCTTCTCTGGAGAGAGAAATGTAAAGAAGAGGGTAAGGTTCAAAATCACACAGAGAGTGTGTTTTTACTGCAACAGCAAAGGATTCTGGAAGCAAGTCGACAAAGTAACTTTCCCGTGCAGGGAGAATAAATCGCTGGCAGAGTGAGTCTGCGTTCATTCACTTCCTTGATCCCAAAGTGAAGGAGTCCACCTGATTTCAAGCGATTAATACCCAAATAATTGAGTATTTATCCACCCCTCCCATAAATTCTTAGTGGACACCTCCTGTGGGCTGAACGTTCATAAATGCTGGGGAGATTGTACAGTTTGACATCTTCCTCCTGACATGGATCTTATATTCTTGCAGCATAGTTTGATTTGGTTTGGATCCTTTTAAGGAAGGGGTTAAGTATGCTCCATATTGATCAAAGGGGTGACCTTCTGTTTTGCAGGTAGGCATCTAGAAAAGTAATCATCTTGAAAAAAAAAATTGTTTCTGAGAAGCAAAATGTTACAAGAAAAACCTGGTAGTGTTGCATTAGGCCAGATGGAGAGCACCGCTCATTAGAGAGGGCTAGGAAAGAAGCCTGGTCCCACAGTCCTCCCTGGCTGCTCTTGGATTAGTCAGAAAAATCTTCTTTCTCAAACATATTCATATGTAAACTAGGGTTAATTTTGCCTTCTTTCTCAGACTCTTTTGTTTCTTCCTTGAGATAGGGTCTCTACAGCCCTGGCCATCCAGGAAATCGCAAGGTAGATTAGGCTGGCCTTGAACTACTGGGTTTAAAGGTGTGTACTGCCATGCCCAGCTTCAGAATCATTTTTAAATGTCCTTTAACTGCTTTTGCTAAAAATGATTCTGAACAACTTGGTCTACATAGCAAGTTCCAGGACTATATAGTGACACCCTGTCTCAATATACATACACACACACACACACACACACACACACACACACACACACATGTACAAACATCCTGAGGTAATGATGTGCGTCTGTAATCATACTACTTGGACAGAGGCAGGATTACTGAAAGCTGGAGGCCATCTTGGTCTCCATAGTGAGTGCTAGGCCAGTGTCAGTTAAGCCATTTTGCTGCGTATGATCCAGTGATCGTCTCCCCACGCCTTCTTTCCTGTCCCCTACCTGCTGGATCTCTGTAAGTCTGCTGTTCTAGGAACTGTGATAAGTAAGACTGTCAGTGCTTATCCCCTCGTAATTTCCTCATTCACTAATGTCTTCAGGGTTCATGTCCCAGCGTGTATCCCTGTATCCACGTGTTTTTTTTAAGGTCGAGCAGCATTCCGTTGTGTGTACTACTGCATGTGGTGTTTTGGACAGACGCCTGGACTGCTTCCTGCTCTTGGTTAGCTGAATAATATCAGTATAAGCACGGTGTCTAGATAACCTGCTCACATCTCTCCTGTTAGTACTTTTGAGCACACATGCAGAAGTGAAAGTCCTACGTCCTCTGTGTGATTGTGCTTTTGTGGAGTCGCTGTACTGATTTCCAGAGCAGTGGTGCCCTTCTGCATCCACACACGCAGTACTCACGCCTTCCCATGTCTGTGAGAAGGAGAAGAGGCAATGAGGACAGAGTTGCTGTACCCAGTGCAGACTCACTGCTGCCTAGAGCAGTGTTGGAAGTTAGGGCTCTCTACCTCACCGGTGCTAAGCAGAAAAATACAAGATCTGTATAAAATGTGTAATTTTTATTATTGACAAAAGGAATTATTCTCTTAAACTCTTTGATGCTTTAGGAATTGATGAACCATTGCACATCAAGAGAAGAAAAATAATAAAGCCAGGTTTTATACATAGCCCGTGGAAGAGTGCATACATCAGACAGCACAGAATTGATACCAACTGGAGGCGAGGGGAACTCAAATCTCCCAAGGTAACAGAACTCTTCACATGCTAACAGAAACCTTTAATCAGTCGGGATGCCTGCTCTAACTCTTCTCTTGTTGGCCTAAAGTATAACCTGATGCCTTGTGAAAAGAAAGCTGGCTCTATTTTAAAATTAACTCAAAGTGTAGCTAACAATGTTCTTTTATTTCTGGTTTCTTTAATCTGATAATTTTATTGAAATCAAAGATGAGTTGATCCAGGCATGGTGGCTCATGTTTGTACTCAAAAATCTGAGGCAGGAGGATAGCCGTGAGTTTAAGGCCAACCTGGGAAACACACTAAGTTCTAGGTCAACCTGTTCTATGGTATGAGACCTTGCTTCAAGAAAATCTCTTCCAACAAAGATGAGAGGACATGGATTTGTTCTACTCCACTCCACACAACATTGTTATTGTTATTTGTTATTACTTTTTAGAAATAACAGTTTTAGGTTTTGTGGATTTTTCTGGGTTTTTTTTTGGCTTTTATGATTTGAAGCAAAAGTCTCATTTTCTATTTCAGAATATTATTGCAGATGTATAAATGGTAGAACTCCTCAATTCATATATTTTAAAATTAGCCAATTTGGAGAGGCATTGTTTTATATGCCAACATGCACTGGCATAATTTTAGGTTGAAAAAACTGTTATTTATTATTCCTGTTTCTAGGTGCTTTATTTTTCTTTTTGGCAGTGTTAAAAGTTGAACCCAGAACCCAGTCCTCTTCCTCCTCTTTTTCTTGTGTTTTAATTTTGAACTGAGGTTTGCCTGGGTGGAACTCACTTGGTAGCCCAGGCTGTGCTGTATATTTTATATACATTTCATAAGCCCAGCTCTTCCCCTCTCCCCAGTGTCAGTGTTATAGGCCTGTGCGGGAGAGTTCTGGGGACTTGGCCATCTCTGCAGCACTTCGCTGTATTTTAAAGACTATGATGTAATAACATAAATGTGATATGTGCGTTTTTCTCATAGGTGCTGAAAGGGCATGATGATCATGTCATCACATGCCTGCAGTTCTGTGGTAACCGCATAGTGAGTGGTTCTGACGACAACACTTTAAAAGTCTGGTCAGCAGTCACGGGCAAAGTAAGTTCCCTTCTTCCATGTTTTCACAAGTTGTCATTTTGTGTGCAGTCACAGTGAAGGGGGTCTGATCCTCAGCTGTTGATAGCAACATCAGGCCGCCCCTAGAAACATGGTCCTTTCTCCCTTAGGACTGTTACCTGTTTGCCGTCTTTGTCGCTTAGATGGTCTGAGACTTCTCAGACGCACATCTTCTCACCTTGCCCGTGTGAGTCAGAATCGTTGCTCCCTAACGCCTTCCAAAACATGGCTGAGGGATTTGTAATTTCCTTATAACTGCTCTGTGGCTGAGCTGTCTGTGATCTAGGAATCAAAAAGATCCTGCTAATCGGAAGTTGTCCCAGACGTGAATGGTAAGGGACATGAAACCAAGTAGCCCAAGCAGTGGCTGTGTTGTACGTAGTGTTCCTTATGAGTCTCTAATGCATACTGACTTTATCTGTCCAAAAGAGAATGTTTTTATGAATTAAGTAATCATCCATTTAAGAAGTAACAGAAGAAAGTATGAGAAAAATCTGTTTTTAAAAATATCTTTTGCTGTGTTGTTCCTTGAACAAGAATCTTATAAATACTCAAAGCAGATGTTAAAAATTTCAAAAGTAGCTACACGTTTCCAGGATGTAATATTACTTTTGGACTTATCTCAGAGTCTCGGTGTCTGTCTTTACATGTCTAGAGTAGCGTGGCCAGCCCCTAACTACCGCCTGCAGGCAGATGGGTGAGCTGTGGTATGTGGTCACACCCAACTTTCTTGGCATCTTGCCTTGGTTCTCTTCCATGGGAAACACCCTGCTGCAGCTTTAATATTATTTAACCATGGCGGCCAGGCTGGAGCTGTTAAACTTGCTCGCATTTATTTATTTATTTATTGCTTTCTGCCATGTCTTATGCTTTGTATCATGATTCTTTTCAGATTTTTTTACTTCATTTTATTATTTTATGTGTGTGTTTACCTGTATGTATGTACGTATGTATGTATGTATATGTGTATGTATGTGTACCACGTGCATGCCAGGTGCCCTTGGAGGCCAGAAGAGGGTGTCAGATTCCCTGGCCCTGGAGTTGTAGGTGGTTGTGAGTCACTAGGTGCTGGGAATCAAACCCAGATCCCTTAGCAGCCAATGCTCTTTGCCACTGAGCCAGCTCTCCAGCCCTGTCATGTTAATCTTAAGTTCCATATCATGTTTGTTTGCTTTCTCCATCCATACTGGTCCCTCAGTTGTGGATGCATGTCTAAGCATATATCACTACAAATAAACAATTCAGTAATAATGGTGTCATGCAGCATTGGTAGCAAAATGGTTTCCTAGTGCTCTAATAAAGTTGAATAAGTAAGACTTGTTCTAGATTTTAATGAGATGCTAATATATTCTTTGCCTTGCTTTCATTTCTACCTAAAATTAATCATCTGAAGTGTTTTTCCAGTGCCTAAGAACGTTAGTGGGACACACGGGTGGAGTATGGTCATCACAGATGAGAGACAATATCATCATCAGTGGATCCACTGACCGGACCCTCAAAGTGTGGAACGCCGAGACCGGAGAGTGCATACATACTTTATATGGGCACACTTCCACTGTACGCTGTATGCATCTCCATGAGAAAAGGTAGAGGAAATCCCATTATGGTGGGGCTTTCACTTCTGTCACTTGTGATTTTGAAATTCATATAGTACTAATGAGCTCTTAAAGTAGATACTAGTGATTAAAGTGTAATGTTCCTAAGTTAGGAAAGTCAGGTTGTATTGGCGTAAAATCGGAGACTTGTCTTAAAATTTCCTTCTTTATTTGATGATGGTACAACCTTTTTTCTTGAAGCTCTGCTTGGTGTTGATTTGCTGATTCATTGTCTTCAAACAAAAAATCATTTTCTTTCTTAATAACCGAATTTATGCTGTGCAGGAGCCTCAGATTCAGTCACTGGGACTCCTAGCCTGTGCGTCCTTGAGTGACCCATCCCATTCTAGATCTAGGCAAACCCGAGGTCTGGGCTTTAGCTTACGTCCTCATTGCCTGCCGTCGGAGCTGCTGAGCGCTCAGATGTGGCTTTGCACAGCTGGCCTTAGGACTGTGTTTCTGCCCTTTCCGTGCCCACCACATTTGGGGAGAACTTTGAGTCCCGCTTTCAAAGTGGTTGCAGCCAAACCTGACCTGCTTGTCTTTTCCTTCCCGGTGCCTCTGCCTGGCTGGTGCTTTTTTCTCTCACCTGCAGTGCCCTGCTGCTGAAATCATGTCCTTCTGTTAACACATCTTCGTTGCAATCAGCTAAGAAATTGTGTTTTCTACTTCATTTGTCAAAAAATATTCTTTTGGCCTAATGTGATATATGCTCCTAATCCTTGCACTGGGAAGGTAGAGACAGGAGGATTCCTTGAATTCACAGCCTTTAGAAAAGACTCTTCCTCTGAAAGAATGTATCTTAGAGGGGTCCTTACTCTGAATTCACAGTAGTCATGACCTGTAACTCAGCACATGGTACTCTTTTTAGTTGACAACTGTTTTGGTAGGTAGGCTGTCCCCTGAAGTCGTGATATGTACAGGGATCCTTTTTACTTTTACTGTGAGCCTGCTTCACACAGTGTGCTGTGAAATTAAAATCTAAGGCCTGAGTTTCAAGAGACCTTGCATTTCCTTCTTGGTTGCATTCATTTCCCCACGCTTTGTCATTCTACTCTCTCAAACGTGGCTTTCTCTCTTGGGACCATAAAGGCACCTGGTTAGCAACCCAGCAGTGACTGCATGACTGTATCACTGTGGTTTTCAGAGGAGTCTAATCTGATAACGTTGAGCCAGTCTCTGAAGGCATTTCTGTGAGTCCTGTAGGAGCATCCTTCACAGTCTGCGTCAGCAGCTGTGGTTTTTCCCTCTGTGGAAAGTGTAAGAAAACAGCCATAGTTTTCTGAGTCCCAGATTAATTTTAGAATTCTATTTTGTTGAAAAATATCATCAATAATTTTTGCTTCCTGAAATAGGTAGTAGGAGTTCATAATTGAAATGTAATGAAATGGCAAACATTCTAAAGAAAGGAAGTTTTGAATTGTTGTAAGTTAATCCTAGATCTGCACCAAGGACTGAGTCGCATGTGCCATGTTCCCGCTTCACTTGTAATCAAGAGAGCTTGTGTGTATGAAGAGCTGCTTGCTTATGGGAGGCTACGGTTGTTTCCAACTGCATGAGCTTCCCCTGTTCCTGTTCCAGGCAGAGTAACTTGAAGTCATATGTGAAGCATTAGGGGTTTCTTGTGAAAGTGTGTCTGTTCTGTTTAAGAAGAGAAAGTGAGCACTGTTTTACCTGTGGTGTGGTTCATGCTCTTCAGCATTCTGATGCCTTGTTTTCTGTTCCCTCTCTGCAGAGTTGTCAGTGGTTCTCGAGATGCCACTCTTAGGGTCTGGGATATTGAGACCGGCCAGTGTTTACACGTCTTGATGGGTCACGTAGCTGCAGTCCGCTGTGTCCAGTATGACGGCAGGAGGGTTGTTAGTGGAGCATATGATTTTATGGTCAAGGTGTGGGATCCAGAGACTGAGACCTGCCTGCACACGTTACAGGGGCACACTAACAGAGTCTACTCATTACAGGTAAGAATCTGCCTCTCCCATCGCTTCCACGCTCTGCTGAAGGCTCAGTCAGTTACTGCCAAGTTGCTGTTTATATGTACCTTATTAGCAAGAAGAAAACATAAATTTTAAAAGCATTTAACTGTTTTAATTTCTCTGATCCATTTTCTCTCTAAAATGCAAATGTTTGTCTTGAAACCTGATACTTCAGGGCTGTAAATTTTGTTACATTATTAATAGTTAGATAATCTCATAGGAGAATAACTTGGATTTTAATAAACTCCTTTGCTGAGGATTAATTTGGCCAAAAGCTGCTGCCCCTTTGCCTTGATAGCTAGAAGTTGATGGGCCGTGTAATTGTGATTCCGTCCCATCTAAAGTGGCCGTGAGCCTCTCAGCAGAAAACCGCACTTTCCGGGGCCTGCTGTATCCCTTTAGATGTCAACTTGGAATTTATTAACAGATTATAATATTTCAAGATCTTCAGTAACGGGACAGAAAACGTGGGCCACCTTTATTTCTGGAAATGCAGCATTCTCCATTTTAAGTATTTCTTGTTACATAATTGTCTTCTCAGGCACTTGCCCGTCAGTGGCTAGCCGAGTAGAGCAGAATCCCAGTGCTGACATGGCTGTCCTTAGGGCATTTGATTCTTAATTGATAAGACTGCCCAAGTAATGAAATGTCGATATATGATAAAGACGTCGATCGCTTTAGAGAAGATGATGGCTTTCAAGTGGGGGAGTTGGTTGCCACTGTTGTTGGTTCTTTGTGCTGTACTCAGAACTGTAGAATGATCTCAGAATGTATAGCCAGGTATTATATATGCCTGCTGGGGATTGGTAGGTGTTTATTGGCTTTTAGTGATTTGGGGAAGCTGAAGAAGAGAGGCTGCGTAGCTTGCTTTTGCTACTAAAATGCCTCCTCTTCTGATTCCTGACATATTCATCTTTGGGGATATTTCCTAATTAGCAGTCAGTTCTTGTAAAAGCTTCTTCTTACAGTTTTTAATGGAATTTACTTTTGAGCATCACAGAAGTTTGCTGTGGCCCTTCCTTCCCATGCCTTGGGCTGATGAGCGTGGCTTTTGGCTTCCTCTGGGCAAGCCAAGCACGGCTTTCTTACTGAATACATAGGATGTAGCTTTCAGCTGGGACCAGGTTGTCTGAAAGGAATGTTGTTCATTTCAGGTGCTTTGTTTTCTTTTTGAAGTTGTTTCTACCTCTTGTTTGAACTTTGGGCAGTTTTATTCAGTTTTGTTTACTTATTTTTAAGAGAATTTATGAAAAATGTTTTTGGAGATGTGATCTGTAGACTTACATGATGGCATGCACATCAGCCCAGCTGCGAGTTTACCCTAGTGTGCTCTTTGTTCTGGTCTTACAGGTTGCTGTACCTCCCTCCCTATTGTAAGGTCTACCAGCTAGCTGATGGGGAAAGAGTCCATGTTTCTGTTCTAATACGTTGTGTCTCTTGTAGTTTGATGGCATCCATGTGGTGAGTGGGTCTCTCGATACATCAATCCGAGTCTGGGATGTGGAGACAGGGAACTGTATTCACACGTTAACAGGACACCAGTCATTAACAAGTGGAATGGAACTCAAGGACAATATTCTTGTCTCTGGGAATGCAGATTCTACAGTGAAAATCTGGGATATCAAAACAGGACAGTGTTTACAAACATTGCAGGGTAAGTGCTGACTCTCCTTTAGCCGTGTCTTTCTGAAATGTCATTGCTATTGAAGAGGGAACCTGTGTAGAGCAGAGATTAACCCCATGCAGAGTACTCCTGATGACTTTGTAAACGCGTGCCTTTCAGAACCAGACCACCTTGAGAAATGGCTTCAATTGTGTCTAATGTGAAAATTCTTACTCATTTCCTGCTTGTTCAGTCGACTCTATTTAACCTTAACAATGAGAAGAAAGACTTGGCGGTCTCGCAGAAGCGACTCTTCTTTTTGTCTGATCATTATATTTTGAATTGAAGCATCTCTGATAGGAAATTACTTTGGCCTCCACTTAGCCAACTGCTTTAGTTGGGATGGGATGGAGTAGTGGTTCCCCCTGAGATAAAGAGACACATGAGAAAGTTGATTTGGAGGCACAGCACCATTGACTTCTTCATGATTCACGTGACTGTTCCTGGGAATGTGGGGGTAGTGTAGTTCTGTTTTCTCCTCTACTGGTCAGTGCAGAGTGGTACAGTGACGGACAGATGTGTCACATCCGTGCTTCCAGCAGTAGAATGTGACACTGCATTGCTTACGTCATCTCAGGAGAGCTCTGCCATAGCCCGAGAACAACGCGTGTCTGGTGGCTCATGGGAGTCAGGCCGTGAGCGTTGGGGCTTCCGCCACAAATAGTTCCCAGAGCTTTCTACCTCAAGCTGGTCTTAAACTACAGCAAGGTTTCTAAATATGCAGCTTTTTAACTGTTAGGTTTCTCATGTGTTCTAACTGATAATTCAATCCCTGTGCTTTTGCTCAGGTCCCAACAAGCACCAGAGTGCCGTGACCTGTTTACAGTTCAACAAGAACTTCGTAATTACCAGCTCAGATGATGGAACTGTAAAACTCTGGGACTTGAAAACGGGTGAATTTATTCGAAATCTGGTCACATTGGAGAGTGGGGGGAGCGGGGGAGTTGTGTGGCGGATCAGAGCCTCCAATACAAAGCTGGTGTGTGCGGTTGGCAGTCGGAATGGGACTGAAGAAACCAAGCTCTTGGTGCTGGACTTCGATGTGGACCTGAAATGAAGAGCAGACAAGATGAGTCTTGTCCAACTCTGTAGACAATATACTCCTGCCCTCCCCCTGCGCAAAAAAACAAAAAAAAAAAACAAACAAAAAAACAAAAAGGAAAAAAAAACAAAAGAAAAAAAGAAAAAAGAGAAAAAAAAAAGAAAAGGAAAAAAATCCCTTGTACTCAGTGGTGCAGGATGTTGGTTTGGGGCAACAGAGTGAAAAGACCTACAGACAAGAAGGTGAGAAGGGCTGAAGAGACAGAGCCGTAACCGAGGGAGGCGGCGGCGCACCACCTGAAGGCTTCACTTCTGATGAGGGGCAGCTTTGCAAAACGAGACTCTCTAAATCCAACCAGGTGCAATTATTCCTTATTTTCTTCTCCAGTGGTCGTTGGGCAGAGCCTCACCAAGACGTTGTTTCCGTCACCTCGGAAGGAGTGGCGGTGATGTCCAATCGTGTGTCATCAGAGCTTCTGCAGCAAAGTCGTGTTTCTGAAGTGGGAAGCAGAAAGAAATTACTGTGAATTGCTTTTGTACAGTTACCATGAAGCTTTCTTTTTCTTTTTCTTTTCCATTTTTTTTTTGTTGGTTTTTTTCTTTGTTTTGTTTTTGCCAGCCATTGCCAATGTCAATCAATCACAGTATTAGCCTCTGTTAATCTTCTTCCTGTTGCTTCCATAGCCCCTCTTCAGTGCGCATGTCGCGTTGTCCTGGGTTCCGAGTCCTGAGATGGATTTAGTTCTCGACGCTGGTGCTAGAAGTAGGTCTCCACGCGTGGGGTCGTTGTCCCGCCCTGTACTGTACTCCAGTGGCCAAACTTATTTATGCTGCTAAATGAAAGAAAGAAAGAAAAAACAAATTATTTTTTTTTATTTTTTTTCTGCTGTGACGTTTTAGTCCCAGACTGAATTCCAAATTTGCTCTAGTTTGGTTACAGAAAAAAAGACTTTTTGCCGCTGAAACTTGAGCCATCTGTGCCTCTAAGAGGCTGCGAATGCAAAAGTTTCAGATACTAAAGAGTGAAGTTTGCCTGCAAATAAAGACTCGAGAGCGTGTGCAAAGCGTATTTTCTGTTATCTGGGCAAAAGTAAAACACATTCCTTGGGACAGAGCCTGAGGTGCCTGTTCTGCGGAGAAGCTTCTTTGTTGAGGGCTGTGGTGAATGGATGAACGTACATAGTAAAACTGACAAGATATTTTAAAGATATATAGAATACAGAATAAAGGAAGTTGCTGGTCCGTCGTAGCATCTTACAGTATTCGGGAAAACAACTGTTACAGTTTCACTGCTCTGAGTAACCGACGCGAGAGGATCACCCGCGCTGTAGTGATGGCGTCCAAGCAGGCCAGCGCGGCGAGCGAGCGAGCGAGCGGAGTCAGGTCGTCTGCCTCATTCACCAGGAGCCGTAACTCAAGCTGAACTGTGAAAGTGGTTAACACTGTATCCTAGGCAGTCTTTTATTTCCTCCTCCTGTTTATTTTTTTGTTTGTTTTATTTATAGTCTGATTTTAAACAATCAGATTCAAGTTGGTTAATTTTAGTTATGTAACACCCTGACGTGATGGAGGAAAACAACCTTTAAAGGGATTGTGTCTATGGTTTGATTCACTTAGAAATTTTATTTTCTTATAACTTAAGTGCAATAAAATGTGTTTTTTCATGTTACTGCGCCTGTTTCTTCCACTTAGATAATACTGTTTTATTATAAACATACAGTATTTGTCTAATATTTTAATAGTCGGGTTTTGGCTTCTTAGTGTTGCCTTCATTGTAGCAACATAGAAACGAGGCCACGCCACCGTGCTTGCCTCCGTGTTTCCTTTGGGCGTGTAAACATGGCATCTGGTTCCTTCCTTTCACACCTCAGCAATGGACCTGAGAGCTGCGCCTGTGGCTGTGTAGGTGATGTGTGTGATGGCTCTGCCCAGCCCGTGTTCAAAAACCGAATTCCAGCTGCCTTTAGTGAAACTCTAGTAAACTAACGCAAGGTTTGGGAGGTGCATGCTCTGTGTGTGTGTGTGTGTGTGTGTGCGCGCGCGCGCGTGTGTGTTAACCTCAACCAATCTCAAATCAACATGGAGTCCTTCCTCTTGGAGAACAAGACTCTCAGAGCCATAGCGCTCGACTTACTCAAAGGCAGAGTCCCGCCACGGGAGTAGTGCCAGGAGTCTGTCAAACGCGACCTGGAGCGTGGAAAGGCAGTGGCTTACACGCTGTTCTTGAAACTCTTTGGTTTACTAGGCCTCTGCAAACTCCACAATAAGAACAGTAGGGAGGGTGACAGTGCAGACGAGAGAATCCCACAGCACGGGCCCAGTGCAGACGAGAGAATCCCACAGCACGGGTGCAGTGCAGACAAGAGAATCCCACAGCACGGGCCTAGTGCAGACGAGAGAATCCCACAGCACGGGCCCAGTGCAGACGGGCTGGGCTGTGAGTGCAGCTCTGAGAAGGCGGCCTCAGCTCAGAGCCATGCCTGCTGTCCACGTTAGTGATGTCATATTTTCAAAGGGTCACCTAAATGAGGCTATACTGGTATAACTGAAGAAAACACCCACCTTTAAAACATGACAGAAGAAAATGCTCACTGATTTTGCTGATAATCAGGCGTCCCATCTCTGATGTCAGCTACGAGATCTTTGAGGGTTCCACCTCATCTGCCCTCATGTTCTAAGATGTGGACAGTGAGCACCCAAGGTCAACGTGAGGATGTTGCAGAGCAGCATAGGTCTTGGCAGCACATAAAACTCAGTGAAAGGAAGTTACTGCTGAATGTTCTCCAGGCTGACACGGTAGCTTCATGCACAGGCGTGGTTCCCCGAGGTCTGCCCATGACAGAAGGAGAAAACCAGTCCCCAAAAGGTCGTGTGAATGCCACACCTGCCCCCACCATACACCTACAATAGTAAATAGAGTTCTTAAGATAACAGAACCAGGTCATTGTAATGTTTTGTATTTGATCATTGTTTTGCGCCTCATTCAGGTATATAAGGAAAGTGGCGTAGGTATATATGTAGAATTTATATTTATATACGTGTATACATTCTCTCACACCAACTTTATTATTTCAAGTGGAGTCACAGAGTCTGCCATCTTACAAAAATGAAATGCTAATAATATTAATATGATAATAATAAGCACCGAACAATGATTTTTGTGTCTGCCCGGGCGTTAAGTGTTGTAGGCATGCAGAGCCCTGGGTCCCACCCCTAGCTCTGTGGAACCGACTCTGGTTCCTGCAGTCCTCACATTCCAGAAGTTGAGACAACAGGATCAGAAGTTCAAGTTTATTTCTAGCAAGTTCTAGCCCAGCTAGGGATACATAAGACCCTGTTCTTTTAAGAGAAGAAAAGTGTTATAGTAGATCTGTTCCTGAAAAAAGAAAATGATAGGTTTTCTTTTTTTTAAGCAATTAAGGAGTTACTGCAGTTAAAAAGTTGAGGTTTGTCTACTCTCTTACTTCTGCTGGGAGTTGCTGCTTTTTATGTAACTACATTTTTGTAATGGCCATCGTAACAAAAACTAATGCTCAGATTTTGACAGAAGTGAGCCCAGCGCAGGTGCCTGGTGGATGCTGTTGAATGTGCCTAAGAGCATCCTGGACCCGGGTACCGTTCCTTACTGAAAGTATTCATAATTTTGACTGGGAAGCCCCCGAACAGACTCAGTTGCCTCAGCTCTGTCATTAACCGGCAACAGCTAGCGCCTACCAAAGGGCTACACGAATGCTCTAACCTATTTGTTTAATTTCACAAAATGCAATTGACATCTAGTTATTTGTATCAGCAGTCGTAGGCCATTTTCCAGTCCTCCAGCTAGTTTATTATAATGTCATTTCCTTGAATGACTCGGAGGATACAAACAGTAGCAGAAGACGCCTCCTCGGAGCCTGTCTCCAGTAGATGCGGAATCGCCGGTAGCTTCCCAGGCTCAGCCACACCAGGCTTTTCTAGACCCTTCTCCCTAAAGCGCCTAGCACACCTTGTGAAATAAGGGTTTCAGAAGAGCGGGAGCAATCAGAGAGCCTGCCTAGCAGCCTTGTCCCTGGGACTTGCTTAGCAGGGACAGGTGCCCCTGTACCTCCCGCCCTCTGGGTCACTTGCCTAGAAAATGGAAGAGTTGGGAAGTCTTTCTCAGTCAATATTCCCCTCAGATGACCTAAGTCCTTTTCTTTCTGTTAGTCATGCCTCATCCCCAGTAAAGATTCTGCCTGCAGCCTGTTTTCTCTCTGGCTCACCAGCCAACGAAGGATCTAACCTGCCATATCTCAGGGCATCCGGTTCTGCTGCCATGTCGTAACTCGCAGGGTGAAGTGGCTTTGTGTTGCCAAGACATGAATGAGGTGGAGTAAGGGCTCTCTGAGTTGGCTTTGACCGAACCTTGAAGATTATGTATACAAGCACCTTTACATACACAGAGACTACCGGAAATGGGATTTCTTCTGTGTGGAGATCATATCATTTCCCCCTGTTCCTTTTCCTTCTTCATCCATCAAAAGAAAGAAGAACTGATCTTGATGACTCCTGTATGTGATCCCGGTACTCGGAAGGTAGGAAGATCAGGAGAGGCCTGCCTCGAAAGTCAGAAAGCTTCTAAAGGGCCTGGTGACCAAGGAGACCCCCATGTCCTCTGAGGTGGATCGCTGTCCACTGGATGTGAGAGGTGGTTGTTCACACAATGTTCCCGGATTCCTGCATTAAGTCACCATATGGCAGTTTGAAAAGTTGGTACATATTTTTTTTACTTTGGCGCTTACTACCGCCCACAAGCTAGATGCTGTTAGATCCACGGGGCCTGCACCCAGCTCTGTTAATCACTGCTTTCAATTGTAAGCGAACATAGCATGGTCTGGCATTGTGACTAGCCAGCGTGTCTCACTAGCCACCCAGTACTAGTGAGGCCCAAAGGAGTGAAGGTCTTGCCGCCGGAGACTATCAAAAGGCAATCTCAAAGGTTCTTCAGGGGGGCAGGAGGCGCCAGCGCACACCTCTCTCCAGAATGTGAGGTAGGAATGAATTCCAGATCCAGCTCCTGGACGCCGTGCTGCAGAAGCCTGGCAGCTCCCCCGTTGGCAGCTGAGGATAAAAATAGCTGCATTTCTGTGTCAGGTCTGATTCTTCCTAAGATCCAGAAGGACAAGGAACCACTGAGTAGACGTTTTGATGGTTCTCTCCTGAAGAACATCTTGTGGCAAAATCTACTTCTGCTGTTGTCTCTGGACTTTGTTTCACATAGGCAGCCGTGCTCTGCAAGGAAAAATTACCTGGACTCTTGCAAATCGAAGGTTCAACTGTAATAGGCCACAAAAACATATTACCAATTTGCCCTTTTTCCCAGGAAGTTCACAGCCTGTAAAAGAAACAGCTAAGCACCCGTCGGTATGAGGCGGTTGCTATGTAGACCTTAAGACTCATTCACATTGCAGCCATAGAATCCATTAAATCCTCTGCACTTCATACGAAATAGTAAGCGGGAAAAGCTCGTCAGTCTGAGTAGGCTCCCCACAGAGTAAGGTGATTTAAATGTACCTCAAACGGAGCCTCGTGTGAATAAAGGTAAGGGCGCAACTGAGAGCACATGTGGTAAAGATTGGATCCCAATTTGGGAGAGCCGATGCTTACCAGGGTAAAAAGATTTCTCAAGACTGGATCGAAAATGATCATTAGAATAAGAACAATACAACAAAGTTCAGAGGGCTTGAGAACGTGGACCTTTTCCTTCTGAGACACCTAGGCAGTCATCGGATATGTGTATTAGAAATCCATATCATTACAGTGTGGCTTCTGCCCCCTAGGAGGACTACAACTCCCAGCAACCCCTGCCCCTCTGGAGAACTACAACTCCCAGCAACTCTCTCTCCTTAGGTGACTAGGCCAATCTCTTTTAGCAGACTCCTCCTCTGTAAGTGGGTGGGGGGATTGTGAGGACAACAGGACACAATGTAGGACAAGTTAGTGTAGCGCCTGACAGGTAGTTGTCATCGAAGGGTTGTATGAATGGAAAAATTAAAAGTTGGGCATGGCGGAGAGGAGTTATATTGTAGATATGAGGGAGACGAACAGGTATCTGGGAGAGTCCAGAGTAGACATGACCCGCAGACTGGGACAGGTCATGTGAGAAAGGGGGAGAGAAGAGAGGGAACCTGGAGCCAGGAGAACTAAAGGGCCAATGCCGCCAAAATGACTAGATTAAATAGAGAAGAGCAGCTGGGGGAAGGGCAGCCCAGCCCCTGTGCTGGAGGAGTTTAGGGCACTGGAAGACAGCAGAAGAACCCTTTAACAGGTCGGAACTGAGGGATACAGGGACAACCTGGCAGCCGGCCCGCTTTGTTACTTTAAATTGTTACCTCAGCCATTTGTCTCAAGTTTGAGAGCTATCAACGAACATAACTCTAGCAGCTAGTGGCCTCTGTACACTTCGGTTCTGAGTATTTTGAAATAACCTGTGCAATGAAACAGTTATTACAGGTAATCTTATTTTATTGTCAAGAATACACAGAAGAGGGGAAAAACTTGTCTTGGGGTTCTAGGGACCCAATTTTTTTTTTAAGGTCTCACTATGCAGCCCTAAATGACATGGAACAAACACTTTATGTAGTCCAGGCTAGCCTTGAATTCACAAAGCTCTCCCTGCTTTCATTTTCTATGAGCTGGGATTAAGGATAT